TCTACAGGTGCTCCATAGAGAGGATCCTTCTACAGGTGCACCATAGAGAGGATCCTGACCTTCTACAGGTGCGCCATAGAGAGGATCCTGACTTCAGGTGCACCATAGAGAGCATCCTGACCTTCTACAGGTGCACCATAGAGAGCATCCTGACCTTCTACAGGTGCACCATAGAGAGGATCCTGACCTTCTACAGGTGCACCATAGAGAGGATCCTGACCTTCTACAGGTGCTCCATAGAGAGGATCCTGACCTTTTACAGGTGCTCCATAGAGAGGATCCTGACCTTCTACAGGTGCTCCATAGAGAGGATCCTGACCTTCTACAGGTGCACCATAGAGAGGATCCTGACCTTCTACGGGTGCTCCATAGAGAGGATCCTGACTGGCTGCATCACGGCCTGGTACGGCAGCTGCACCGCCCTCAATCGTAAGGCTTTACAGAGGGGGGCGAAAACTGCAGAGAACATCACCAGGACGGAGCTGCCATCCATGGAGGACCTCTACTCCCAGCGGCTCAGGAAGAAATCCCTCAGGATTATCAAAGACCCCCATCACCCCAGCCACAAACTGTTCAGTCTGCTGCCGTCTGGCAGGCGGTACCGCAGCATCCAGACTAAAACCACCAGACTCAGGGACAGTTTCATCCATAAGACTGTTAAACACCTGAACTGTTGAAACAACATCCACAATATTCATCTGGCTGCTACTTAAAAATGATTTATCTATTTACCTAATATATCATTCCAATAGCTTGCATAGACTCTTATTTCACTATTTCACTTTTTTTAAACTATTTTTCTTTTTGTATTTACTTTTTAGTATATTTAATTGCACTATATTTTTCTGTGTTATTGTGTTGCACTGTTGGAGAAGCCTGTGACCTAAGATTTTCATCGACATAACTACTCTGTAGCTATGTTCGTTTGACAAATAAAGAACCTTGAACCCTTGATTTGAACCTAAACCATTCTCTTTCTATTGAAACATATCCAAATAGTTGTTCTGCCTGAATTCCTCTGAATCTCTTTCCTGTTCCCATCACGCCTTTCAGGTTCTCTTCCACGCTATGGTGAGAGATAAGCATGGCAGGAAGATGAGTAAATCCCTGGGAAATGTCATCGACCCTTTAGATGTGATACATGGGGTCTCTCTGGAGGTAGGTGGGCCTGCTACTCTGTGTTACTGTTCATGACCTGCTAATATCTACCTCTGAAGGGCCAGGAGGTGGACATGTTCTGTTTAGTTATCTCAATCAATATACAGAACAACTGTACAGTCCACCACACCCTTACATCCACCTGCCTTCTTCCTGTTTTTAAGAGAACAAAAAGCCATTGTAAATTCTTCCACCATCAGCATGAACAGAAACTGAAAGTAGGTGTAAGAAACACAACTCCCTCCTCCTGTTGTTCGCTACAAAACTATTGTGGATGTTAAGTGATAATGGTGACCAGGTACTACATTGGCATCTGTACCATGGATGTATAAAGAGAACTGGATACAGCGTTGAAGGCGGGGCACCGTTCATTCCTATGAGAGTTGCTCAGTGGCGCGTAAAGCCCTAAATGGACTGACTAGATTAAAAAAGTACCCGTATCATCCAGGTCCATAGGGAATGTGCACTTGAGTTTTCCTTAAGCCCCGCCTCCGATTCCTCTTGGCTCAGATGAATGGACATTTGAACCTCTACTAGATCAATGTAAAAAGGCCTATCCTCAAAGGGTTGTCTTCCTCCTTCTTTTCACAGGAAGTATCACCCAGACAAAATTCCTTTATTTTTCCTGCACATCCCCAAGAAATTCGTTTTTAGGACTAATATGTCATTACAATAAAGGCATTTGATTGTTAACAAACAAGAGTTTTCTTCTACTTTCCAAAACTCAATACATCTTTTTGTAAGTCTTTATCAGCTGTATCTGCCACCACCACACTCTATTGACGGATATGTGTTTGCAGTATAATAACAGATTAAGTCTCAAACTAAGGCTTCGTCATGTTTTTCTTGTGTTGCATAGGCTGCATTCATTGTGCGACCCTGCGGTGCAGAATGACAATAACTAATCCTTGAAATCCCGAGTTTGGCAGAGTGTAATCTCTGGGATGTGAGAAGATGAATCCTTTCCTGTTGTGAGGTGGGCCCCGCTGAGTCAGCCGTCTGTTCAGACTCCCTCTGAAGACATTTGCTTGTTTGTTTCCTCGCAGAGACTTCAAGAGAAAGTGCAGGAGGGAAACCTGGAGCCCCGGGAGCATCTGGTTTCCATGGAAGCGCAGGTCAGCGATCTGTTCTTTTGTGGCTGACTGAGCATACTCATTACTTCCTCTCTTATCTGTCTCTCCCATCTGCTTCCCCACAGAGGAACGACTTCCCCAAAGGGATCCCTCAGTGTGGGACCGATGCACTGAGATTTGCCCTCTGCTCTCACAAGATGCAGGGTGAGTGACTCTGCACACGTTACCTGACGGGGGAGGATGAGTGTATGGAGCTGTGTGACTGGGCAACGAAGGAAGATATGATGGGTTGTGATGGTTAACACTTACTGGTTGCCCCCTGGTAGCAGAGTGATGACAGCGTGTTTCACATAACTGAACGGAAATATAAAACACTTTTATTTTAGTGTTAGCCATTTGTTAGACTGAAAGGACATCGATCCCCTATTGCTTCTAATTTCACCATCATAGCTGTTCAACGATCTCCAATAACATGTAATGGTTTGTCTGACTGACCATCATATTTGGGCTCCTTTTAAATAAAAAACTGCACGGTTTCCTTACATTTTGATTGAATTGGGAAAGACCTCACAATCTGTATTTACCACCGGTCAAATGGCTGCCAATGTTTTCACCAAAAAAGGGGGCGGGGCCATGACGTAGAGGGAAGGTACCCATATGGCTCATGTGCTACTGCAATGCACATACAGAAGGTTTTTTTTTAAATATTATAGGCCAAGTGGAAATGGGTGTTTTTGTTCAGTCTGCTGCAGAAGATGTGTAGACTTTCTCCTGACCTGATAGTAAAGGGAAGCTCATTGCAGCATTTTTCAGCCAGGATAGCAAACAGGCATGTTTTTATTGGGGGCTACCTCGGTCCCATCTACAGTAAGGGAGAAGCGAGCTGATTGGTCGATGCAGAGAGAAGTGCACGTGCTGGAGTGTATGGTTTAACCATGTCCTGGATATAGGAAGAGCCAGATTCACAGTGTTTCTGCCATGTGACATGTCTCTGGTTATTCCTCTCTCCTGTGCCTGGTGGATTTACCCCCCCCACGGGACAATGAGTGTGTCATTTGATGTAAGGCAAGGGCTGGTTATGAAACTCTAGCACTTTCTTAATACCAACAATTGCTGTATCTGTTCCTTGTTTTGTTCTGGAGAATGTGATATCTGAGAAACGCATCGATGGAATTGATGAACTGATTAGGTTCTCTGTCCTCTCACATGCATCCCATTTTTGTTAATGAATATTTCAGTAACGCCCTGGGAAATGTTTTACACATCTGGCACACACATCGCCAGGGATTCAAGGACTTTGATTACATTTTGGTGGTCAGATGTCACTGTGACAACACCTCTGTCCCATTGGCCTGAATGCTACGTCTCAGGGACGCCTCGAGGGAATTTCTTCAACTTTAGCACGAGTCACCCTGGACCCAAGGAGGATGTAATTAGATATTAGTGTTCATATGTCAATGTTATCTTAAGCCCAATATTTGGCTTTGAAGAACTTATTATTTCCTCGATATTTATTTTCCTTCACCCTGTGTGTGACTTTTGTCTGCCTCTTCCTCAGGAGAGGACATCAGTCTGTCCATATCTGAGGTCCTGAGCTGCCGACACTTCTGTAACAAGATGTGGCAGACGCTGAAGTTCACACTGGGAGTGCTGGGGGACAGCTCCACACCAATCACAACACTGGAGCAGGTACAGTAGCTGGAGTATATTTGTATTCTTATTTTGATGTAAAACGTTGGGCTGTTATTGGTCAAATGCTTGTCTTTTAATGAATAAGAGGTTCAAACACTAATTGTAGTTACATTGTAGTATGTAGTGTATCAAAGCAATACATTACTAATGACTCTCAGGTTAAATATGACAATTGATCAGAATTATTGATGTTTTTTGTTCCGTTAACTATATCATACAAATATGTTTTTTCTTCTTTTCTTCTGATTTGTCATTTTAACTGCATCTCACTTGTTGTATAAACACTGAATATATGAGTATATTGTATAACTGTATCTCTCTCCCTCTTCAGACGGCAGCAGTGGGCAGCATGGAGCGCTGGGTCTGCTCCCGGCTGTACAGCACCGTGCTGCAGTGTGAGCAGGGCCTGGAGGCCTCTGAGCTGCACACAGTCACCTCAGCCCTGCACTCCTTCTGGGTGCACAGCCTATGTGACGTCTACATGGTGAGGAGCAACTCACACAGTGGTGCAGGGATGACGGATTGTTGTTCTGCACACATTAGATTTTGGAAGGGCAAATGCAATAGCCAGGAGTACAAGTCTGACGTTAAGATAGTAGTTTTGTCTGTAGGGACTCGGCCTGCAAACCGATTGGTTGCCGGTTCAAGTCCCGGTTGGACCAAACTATAGTGCGGACTGGTAGTTGGAGAGGTGCAAGACAGCCTCCTGGGACCTGCCAATGTGCCCTTGAGCAAGGCACTGCACCTCAGCTGCTTCAGAAGGCCGGAACACTGACAGCCCCTGCTCTGACACTCTCCATTAAGTTGTGTATGTGTGTATTTCAGGCCTATTTGTGTAATTGTAAAAAACACCATAGTGAAGAACTGTATTTAGCCATGGGGATTTATAAAATATATTTTAGTCATAATTCAAAAGGAACTACAGCACGGTCACATGAATTCATATCACCACCGCTAGGCTAAAGGAGGCTAATGTTACGTGTGATGGCGATTCATTGGCAAATGTTTTCACTTGTTGGCTGATTTTAAGACACGTAGATGCTTCGGACATTCACCAGTGGGGTATCTATCAACATATTTGATTGTCACAGAACAATAAGTGAAAATCTCTCAAGCTTGTGTACAGCACAGACAAAAACAAAGCACATGGGGGAGACAGGGGAGTGATTACATGCTGACTAATCTCCGTGTTTTAGGACTCATTCCTGATCAACTGTATTACGGTTACACTAATCATCAACATCAAAAAGACCGATTAGCATTACGCGTGTGTGTGTGTGTGTGTGTGTGTGTGTGTGTGTGTGTGTGTGTGTGTGTGTGTGTGTGTGTGTGTGTGTGTGTGTGTGTGTGTGTGTGTGTGTGTGTGTGTTGCAGGAGTGTGTGAAGCCTGTGCTGGCGCTGCCCCCGGACACAGAGCAGAGTGTGGGGGCTCAGCAGGGGGTCCGCAGCGTCCTCTTCCACTGTGTGTCCATGTCTCTCGCCCTGCTCTCCCCCTTCATGCCCTTCATCACTGAGGAGCTGTGGCAGAGGCTCCAGCCCTTCAGCCCTGCTGCTGCCGCTGTCCCCCCCACCCTGTGTCTGCAGCCGTACCCCCGCTCCTCCCAGCTGGTAGGAACGCAAGCATCAAACTCCAGATGTACATCATGACAATAAAATAATAATAAGCTTTATTTGAATAGCAAACGCAGCATATGTACATGATATAACATGTTTAAAGGAATACAATGAGGTACAATAGGCATGATATTAAAGTAATATAATCCAAAAGTTCACAACAGTAAGTACAAAAACACATTTGTGTGTATTTTCACTTTTATGTTTGTAACTTCAGAACTAAATATTGGGGAGTAATATTGGTAGCTATAATTAAAGTCTTACCTTAATCCCTCACCTATTTGATGTGGATGGAGAGCCTGTAACAGCACAGACAGCTGACTCAGCGTCATGTAGCGTATCTTGATAAAGCTACTTTAACGTTAGCATAAATGTTGCTACATCACATTTTCAGATGAGTTGTTATCTTAGATGAGCATGTTGTCTTTCCAAGGTAACATTTGATAAAAAGTCAAACAGCAAGCACAAAGAGGCTCTTCAGATGTAAAGAGGCGTACATCATCACATTTGGACTACAATTCCCACTTCATCATTCTATCCTTATTAAACATCTGTGTGAGATTGTCATGATTAGCAATGGTTTCTTGAGTTATGGCCAAAGATGTATTTTTTGCAGTCTATGTGACCTTTACCTTTGACCCCTAAACTAATCATACTTGAGTCCAAGAGAAGATGTGTGCCAAATTAGAGGGCATTCCTATAATGGGGTTCCCGGGCTTTAAAAAGAAAATAATAACTCACGTTATCTGTGCTTTGTGTTCTGAGAGATCTCCACTCTCCGTGTGTTTTAGCTGACGTGTTCTCCTCTCTAACCTCTCATCCTGACAGGCACACTGGCACTTCCCTGACGAGGAGAGAGACTTCCTGTTGGTGCAGGAAGTGATCCGAGCGGCCCGATCGCTACGAGCCCAGTGTGGCATGACCAAAGTAAAACCTGCCAGTAAGTTCTTTCAACAAAAACACTCAAAGAACATTGGATATAAATGTGTTTCCATGTGGTGTCTGACGTATCCCTGTGTGTCAGTGTGGGCGGTGTGCTCCCCCAGCCAGGCTCAGGTCCTGCTTCACTTCGGACCAGCTGTCTGGACTTTAAGCCGCACCTCCAGCCTCCATATCCACTGTCCTGATGGAGCAGAGTGCCCCCCCGCTCTCCTCTCCACCCCCCCACCTACAGGCAGCCTGGTGGCTGTGGTGGACCACACCTGTCAGCTACACCTCCACATCCAGGTGTGGTACCTCCTGCTGCTCTGTCATAGTGAAGCTCACAGCTGCCAGCTAACTGAAGAGCGGAGGACAAAAAGATGAATAGCCTATTTTTGATCATTTTTATTCAGTAAAAGTATAATCCTATTCCGCCCTCATCGATCAATCAATAATAAAACAAGCATGATTTCAGATGAATGATTGATTTACGATTGATATATATGTCAATCATCAATGAATCGATCATCCAAGATCAATGATTGATACAGGAAGTGATTTATTTTTTGAACACACCACCGGTAAGCTCGTGTCAGTCACATCGATACTAGCCAGACATCAGCTTCACATAGAAACATCATCATCAATCGACTTATTTCTACTTCTAAACTGTACACAAAGATTTAGTGCTGAAAATGTGATCAAATTGAAAAGCTGTTGTGTGGATGTATGAAGTGAATATCCAGGGTGGTATCAAATGCAGTACTTCTGATCTTAATGAAATGATGAAGAAACAAAAAATAAGAGATAATGTGCAGTGAGGCGGTCGTTAATGATTTCTCTTTATTAATAATGACCACCACGCTGCACATTACCCCGCTCATTACCCGGCTACATAATGGAGGAATCAACCACTTGACTCACAATATTGATTTAAAAATAATCTTATTGCTTCCTCCAAGAAAAAACAATTTGTTCCACTGTGCACAGCTTCAAATGTCTTCTTCTGGGGATCTCTCTGACATCCAGTGCTCGTATTTGAATCTCTTTCACTCTTTTCTTTACTGGCGAGAATTTAGCCATCACAAATCCTAAGCTTCCTCCTGTTGTTAGGTTTGACTGCATATAGTCCATTGATAAGAGCATCCTTCTTACCAACGCTCTGTTCTCCTTTGCAGCGGTCTGTTAGCGATAATCAACAAACTCTGCAATGTCCAAATTGACCAATAAGGATCAAGTATTCATCTAAACGTGTAATAATCAAACACATTGGCCAATATTTTCCTGTGTACAAATTGACATTGATTCTTCCTTTACTTCGCATTGTGTGACCTGAACTTCAAATGCAAACCAGAACGAGCTGAAAGCACTGTAAGCACTGACTGACACGAAGGTTGGCGTGGTGATGTGTAACGTACACTTTGTCCTCAGAGTGGAGTGGACGTGGACAAACAGGTGCAGCAGCTGTCCCTGCGCAGAGACAGACTCCTCCCAAAGCTGGAGCAGCTCCTCCTCAGGCAGCAGGAGCAGGCCTCCCAGAGCAAGGTTCCTGCTCACATCAGGGAGCAGACGGACAGCAAGGTGAGGCCTGCACGGTTATATCTGGTTCATCATTTATCAAAGGTCTGAACAGGTGGAAAAGTTCATATTTTGGATCAGATTATTGGTTGTAATGCCACCTCCACTGCAAGAAACAGAGTGGTGCAGTAATGATGTGTTTTTCTATGCCGACCCAGAAGTTCGCATCACAAGGGCTCCATCGAGAAAAAGCTTTGGGATTTCTTTCATTGGATTTTGGAATATTGCAGACAATAAGCTCTATAGCAAAACATGTATATCTCCTGTTCCTAGTGCAATACATCCAATGACCGAGCTGCACTCATCTTCACGCTTCCTCATGTATATCAATGAATGGATCGTTGTTGAAAAGTTGTGAGTCTCTTAATGTAAGGACATGTTTTATTTTTACTTCTACTCTATACTTGTAGAGAGGTTAAATAACTAAATAAGGTTAAAAAAATAACCAAAGAATTGAATATAGTGAAATATAAAAATGAGCTGTTCAATATGGTGGAATGTTATTTTTCATTTATTAGCAACCTTTACCTCAAAAGTCCAGATCATCAGATTAACTACATTTGTTATCTTGTTTTGAATTATCTCATCATTTATGAGATAGTGTTTTTAATATAATGATTTATATATGTAATGTTATTTATCAATCAAATGATTAGAAAATGATGATTAATGTCTTCATTGATTACTGAATGTAATGTCATTCATATTTGTGCTCCTCCCTGCCCCCCCCCCCAGACGTCGGCCCTGCAGCAGGAGGTGAACACCATCGAGGAGCAGCTGAAGCTCCTGCAGGAGACGCAGACACAGAATAACAGGATCTACTGACGGAGATGATGAATTATTTCTAACATCTGCTGGATGAGAGAGGCACTAAACAATATCACATCATGATGTTAACATAATGCAGGACTGTACTCTGTTACTAAGGACCTGCAGGTGGAGTTGTGCTGGATGTTGCTATGGAGAGGTTTCTCCTGTATAGCACGTTTTTGTGTCATGCCCTTGCATTGTGATCACTAACTTTATTTTCTGTCAACACTGATCATTGTTTTTAAAATGATGTCATCTTTTCTCCATCTTGACTAAATGTGTGTCAATGTTGTGAATGTCAGAATTGTGTCACCTGAGTAATCAGGGTCCAACACATCAGGAGGAATTATGCATAAATACAATCAATAAATCCACGTTTTTAAGGGGACATCTTATGGTCATTTTCAGGTTTATATTAGTATTTATTCTACGGTGACATGTCTTCATACTTTAATGTTCAAAAAGCTCTTTATTTTTCTCATACTGCCTGTGCTGCAGCACCTCCTTTCACCCTGTGGCCGTTTCTCAATCGCGAGGATACTGGCTTGGTAGTCGCATACTTCCGAGTCACTTTGTTCAGAAACGAAGCAAGTATACTTCCAAGCCACAGCTTCGGCAAACAAAGAAGAATGGAACAGGCTAACAAGTGTGCCACTCTCTCTAACGGTTTCAACATAAACACCGAAAAATAAATACCTCACGATGTCTATCTAATTATGAACTTGCTTTACTTTCACGGAACACATTTTTGGTGATAACAAATGCAACAAAGTAACATATTTACCAACACATGTTCTACGCCGCTACATACTTACATTTAAATGTGTGCTGTGCTGCGTCGGTTCAGCCATTCTCCGCAAGGGTTTTTGAAATTGGTCAGTGCGCAAAGCATTGTGGAGATTTGAAGGACGCGAAGTCTACCCATGTGCAGCCTCGAAATTACCCCCAAACCAAGGACGTGGCCTCGGTGGAATTCCAAGTATGCTGGAGATTGGAACAGTCCTTCGGCGGCACTCGATGACGTAGTATCTTTGAAATATTGGCTTGGAAGCCAGTTTCCTCGCGATTGAGAAACTCTCTATACCCAGGCAACCGCACAAGAAACCACAGTCAAACCACAGTCCCGGAATTCTACAAGAGGATCACCACTTCGTTAATGAAACTCACAGACACGTTGCGGT